GGAGAGAGCAAATAGGATGTGCTGCTCTGTCGTGGGATAATTGACTGTTTGGGGCTTGAGCGGGAGGAGCGAGCCCCTAGGAGGGGTTTGTAGTATCTGCAGTAACGCGAATCATTTCAGCGCTTGCCAGCTTTTGGGAGGAAACCTGTTTGTGGCTTTTATTTTCCTCTGTGGAGTCTGACAGCTTTCCCTCCCCCTGTTCCCTCCTCCCCGCGCGCGCGCACGTTGCTGCAATGGCGTTCGGCAGCGGATGAGGCGAGGGAGGTGTAGTCGGAGCGTGCCGTGAGGCTCGTGCCGGCGCTGGGCTCTGTTCCCACGTCCCCAGCTCGCCAGCAGCCCCTTACTGTGCTTTCTGGGGCCGGCTGCTGTAGCTGCTGGCCCATAGGACATCTCCAGCTTCCCTGGAAGCCTCTAGGATGAAGCTCAGATTTGAAGGGGTAAATTCTGCCCCTTGGTTGGAGGCTGCAGTTCCCCTTGGCTTGCTGAGCTGGCAGGGGCCACCAGGGGGCAAGGCCAGGGTCTCCCAAAGCAGGGGTCCCATGGGTCCAGGGGCCATCAGCACCGGAGAAGAGCCTGGTGCTGTGCTCCTGCCTCCTGGGCTCACTCAGCTGGCCGGAACTGAAACGGCTCTTAGGCTGTTTCAGGAGCTCATAGCTCTGGTGCTGAGCAGAAAAGCACCTAGCCTGCTAGGTCTGAGTGGGTGCAGCCTCTCAGACCATGTGTTCTAATGCTATTGCCCTCTTCGTTCCCAGGAGGACAGCGCGGACCTGAAGTGTCAGCTGCATTTCGCAAAGGAGGAGTCTGCCCTGATGTGCAAGAAGCTGACTAAACTGGCCAAAGAGAACGACAGCATGAAGGAGGAGCTGGTCAAATACAGGTCGTTGTATGGGGACCTCGACAGCTCCCTGTCCATAGAGGAGCTGGCTGACTCTCCTCACTCCCGGGAGGCTGAACTCAAAGTCCATCTGAAGCTCGTGGAGGAGGAAGCCAATATCCTGAGCCGGAGGATAGTGGAGCTGGAGGTTGAAAACCGTGGGTTGCGGGCAGAGATGGATGACATGAAGGGCCAGGGGGACAAAGAGCTGATTGGGCAGGACATCCGTTTCCTGTCGTCCTCTTCGAACTGTGGGGACTCTGGGGAGAGCCTCGTGGAGCTGAGACGGCACCTGCAGTTTGTAGAGGAGGAGGCCGACCTGCTGAGGCGGTCGCTGATGGAGCTGGAGGACCAGAACAAGCTCCTCATGAACGAGCTGAACAAGTACAAGTCGGACCACGACCTGGACGTCACGCTGTCAGAGGACAGCTGCTCGGTGATCAGCGAGCCGTCCCAGGAGGAGCTGGCCACAGCCAAGGTGCAGATCAGTGAGCTGAGTGGCAAGGTAAAGAAGCTTCAGTATGAGAACCGCGTGCTGCTCTCCAACCTCCAGCGCTGCGACCTGGCCTCCTGCCAGACCACCAGGCCCATGCTAGAGACCGACGCCGAGGCCGGAGACTCCGCACAGTGCGTCCCCACTGAGCTCTGGAGGGACGGGCCTGTCGGCGGGGAGAACGATGCCCAGGAAAGGGCACCCGGCAGTGGGAAGGCTCTGGACAGCAGCCCCACCAAGCTGCTCAAGTCCAAGGACTTTGAGACCCTTCTGGGCATCCGGGACCAGGCGGCGCTCGTCAGCAAAGCAATCGATGTCTTGATTTCGGACACCAATGGCTTCACTTCCAGCCTCAAGTTGTGCCTGGACAACGAGTGTGTGGGTGGGATGCTGAGTGAGACGATGGATAACAGCAGTGAGAGCCCCAGTGACTCCAAGCTGATGAGCGTTCTCATTATGAGGCTCAGTGTCCTGCAGCAAGACCTGGGCTGCTTCATGAGGAAGGTGGATCACCTTGCCGACTGCCTCAAAGAGCAGACAGCCTCTTTCCCCTTCTGCGGCCCCGGCAGCCAGGACTCCACCAAAGAGGTGCTGCAGAAAGAGCACAGCTCCGACTTCCAGGTACGGATTTTTTCCCATGTCACTGCAATTCCCTTGCAGCAGTTATTGCTTTATTTGCCACGCTCTTTCCCCTGCTTTAACAAAACAAAACCTGACCTGTAACGTAACCTCCCTTGTGCCTCTCTAGAGCAAAACCCAAACTAATACTCGCTGCATGACAGTGGAAGCAAGGACAAGATAGGACTCTGCTCCAACAGAGTGTGCGTAGGACAGAAGGTGGAGGGCCTGAGCTGGGCGGTGGGGAAGGCTGGATCGGCACCTTAGCGCTTGCAGACACAGAGCACGTGTTGATTACACCAGGCCTGCCGTGCCAGAGAGAGGGGCTTGCAAATGCAGTCCTACCTCAGTGCTTGCAACCTTGCCAGGGGCTGGCTGTTCAGCTGCTCAGCCTCATCTGTGCGCAGGCAGATGCTCGGCTCCTTGCAGAGCCAAACAACCCCAGGCAGGCTCTGAAGCTCCTCCCTTATCCTGGCTCGACCACTGGTTCACGAGACCAGCTGGGCGAGAGGGGAGCTGCATGCGGGACCTGGAAGGCATCCCAGATTGTAAGGCTAAGATAACAGCCCCAGGGGAAGGAAACTGCAGCCCCCTGTGATACGCGCTGAGGAGAGAGTTCCCAGACAAGATGCTTTGCGAAGATGCAAAGGCAAATTTGGGTCTGACAGTGAGCATTTTTGGAGCAATGGAGAGCAGCTAGTGCCCTGCTTCCCAGCCTCCTCTCCCGAGGTGGGGCAGCTCCTGCCTGGAGGTGCATCCTGTTTGGGACCTGATGCCGGAGGAGAAAGCAAGACCCGCTCCCCAGGCCGGGAGGTGCTGGTGCGGGCGCAGGGCGCGCTCGCGCTGCGGCGGGGAAGCAGGCCCCTTTCTGGAGCACACTCGCTTGTTCAGAGTTCTATTTTTCTGCATGCTGCCGGACCGCAGTCCTGCCAGCCCCAGGTCCCAGTCTCCCCCCGTCACTGCATGGCACCGTAACTGGTGTTTGCACATTTTTTCCCTCTCTCTCTCTTTTCTCCCCTCCCCAAACAACCCAGGCCACGTGTCTCCTCATCCTGTGTTTCCTTTTGGTTTCTGCATTGTCTCCCGCCATGGTGATGAAGCTCCTTCTCCTCATCATCCTTTTTGTTGTCTTGTAGTTCTTTACTGTTTCGGAGACCCATTGTTTTGTTTTCTGGCTTTCTTTTCTTCCCGCTCTTTTGGTTTGTTCTCATTAACTTGCCCACGCATGCAGCAGCCTGATTTTAGGGATGCCGACCCTTACCGCATCACCCACACCAAGGACACGGACCCCAGTGCCACACATCCCCGGAGCTACAAAACCTGCCGGCCTGATGAGAATGACTCCTATGCCGCCGAGGTACGTAGTAGCCTCCCCTGGGGTGGCTGGGGATAGCCGTGTCCTAGCCGGGCACCAGGCAGTACAGGAGCACCTCTTCCCATGTGGGGCCAGCAGGGTATGGGGCAGTAGGATCAGGAGCCCAGGTCAGTGCCGTGGAGAGGAGCGAGTCCTCCTCAGACTGGGCTGGCTGGTGCTGCGAGGACAGGGCTTCCCCAGCACCCCTGTGAGGTCTCTGCTCCCAGCAGAGGCTGAAAATGCCTCTAGGGCGACCAACCCGAACCTCCCAAGCCACAATTTGTGGCTGTTACTGCTTGATTTATCACCTGGCTCTGCTGAGAAGAGTTTGGTTTCCTTTCAAGGAGTTGCAGGCTGCTAGATGTCACCCCGTAGCCTTCTCTTCTGCAGATTAAGCCAGCCCAGCTCCATTCACCTCTTCTAGACTCTGTGCCCCAGGGCCCTGACTGTCACAGCTACCATCTCCTGTGCCCTTTCTAGTTTTTCCACATCCCTCGTGGAAGGGGAAGACACCAAACTGCGCACAGCCATCCAGGTGTGGCCCCACCGGCATCTGCTCCAAGTATTCGTCAAATGCTTTTTTCAGCTGCTGAGGGGGTTGGGCTGCAGGAGAGCTGGGGACAAGCCCTCAGGCCCCAGTGTGGCTGTGAGCACAGGTTTTGCAGATGTCTTTGGATTAAGGGTCAGCTAGGATCCATCTGTCCATTAAATTGCCTGCTGCCGGCACCACCCGTTATGTGGTCGGCGCTGTACCCGGCAGAGAGGCTGCTCTCTCTCATTTTGCCTCCTCCTGGGTTTCACAGCACAGACAAGCAGGCAGTTGGCAGATCAGTTTTCGATGAAGTCTCCTCTACTTTGGTTGGAAAAATAATCTGCTGCAGGCTTATCTGGCAGAAAATAACCACGTGCCTGTAGCTGAAGTGTCCAGGCCCTGGATCTTGGACCAAACAGACTCCTTGGGGAAAGCTTTAGCGCTCGTCCCCTGATGCTCCAGCCCAGCCTCTCTCAGGCTGGTGGCTTTACAGTTCAACACCACTGTTTTATCTGACAAGTAGGAACGCAGGCTCCCAGGTGATGTGAGCCTGTGGGTGGGATGGGTTCTCCTCCAAGCAGTGCCCGTTGCCTGCAGGCCCCTTTGCCCTGGCAGGTGGGCTCAGGCCCCTGTGCACGGGAGCTCCCCCCCGGGCCCAGCGCCAGGCTCCAGACTGCAGGAATGAGTCTAGATCTTTCCCTGAGCACTAAAAGCTCAAAATCTGCTTCTGGAAGCCATCTCGTTCCAGCCTTGGCGTGACCCCACCGTGGGCCTGGCTGGAAAGTGGGCAGACGTGTGACGCTGCCTGCTCTGTGTTGCGGGCATGACGGGGGAGGCATGTGGAGAAATGGAATAAACTCTCTCGGCACACGTCCACTGCTGTCCTGCTGTGGCCTCCTGCCCCTGCCATGTGGCCATGCGTCGGGTGGGAGGGTGAGCGCGGACCCACCGTGCCCCTCTCACCATTGCAGATGAAGGAGCTGCAGCTGGTGCTGGCGGAAGCCAACGAGAGCCTGCAGGGCATGCAGGAGCAGCTCTCTCAGGAGAGGCAGCTGAGGAAGGACGAGGTGGATAACTTCTCCCAGAAGATTTGCCAGGTGAGTGGACAGCAGCCGTAGCCCCTCAGAGACAGGTCCCAGCAGGCATGGCGGTACCACCACCAGCACCCCCTGAGCCTGGAGTCTGCTCTGGCTCCAAGCCTGCGACTGCCTTGGGGATCTAGGCGTTACTCAGGTTGACACTTGGTTTATCCCATCCCTGAGGGGTGTAGGGGCCAAGGGCGCCTCTCCTTGCATGGGGGACCTTACCCCCGTGATGTTGCCTTGGCAGGCCTCAGGGCCCCACTCTCCTTGGGTCAGAGCATGCTGCCCAGGAGGTTGCAGCTCTTCCATGAGCTGGGTTGGGGACATAAGGTATGGGGCCCCACTCCAGGCTCAGCCCTTTGCCCGCCAAAGCCCTTGGGAGGCGACAAACCATTCCTGCCCACAGCGGCCTCCACTAGGTCCCGTCTCCCAGCAACAGTTGCAGGTGATGGTGTGAGGCCCGGCTGCTCAGTTGTGTCTCTCCAACAGCTGAAGGAAGACCACCAGAAAGCTCTCCTGAGGCGGGAGTTTGAGCTGCAGAGCCTGAACCTACAGAGGCGGCTGGAGCAGAAGTTCTGGAGCCAGGAGAAGAACCTCCTGGTGCAGGAGTCCCAGCAATTCAAGCAGAACTTCCTCCTGCTGTTCATGAAGCTCAAGTGGTTCCTCAAGCGCTGGCGCCAGGGCAAGATCGTGCACAGCGAGGGCGATGACTTCCTGGAGGTACTCCGTGCTGCCTGGGAAGGGGCGGTTGGGCCCAGTGGGGCAGGGGGCTGTGTGGCGCACTCAGCTCCCATCATGGGGGGAATCTCGCTGCTTTTTTTTTTTTTGTCTGCGTGCTGCCAGGCATTTCCAGGCGCCTGCCCACCTCTGTGTTTGTGCCTTGTGCCAAGGCAGATGCTCTACGTGTGTGCCAGTGCGGTGCCATCCGCACCCACCAGGGAAGCATGCCCAGCACCTGCCCGCCTTGTGTTCCGGCTCCTACCAGCTCCCTCTCGGCCGCCTCCGAGCATGGAGCCGTCTGCACAGCGGCGGCCGGTGTCTAAGGCCTGCAAACAATAACCTCTTTATGGGCTGCCCTTGGTTACAGCTAGGAGCTGACTCCCCTCCTGGCACAAGACTGAGATCTGCTGCTGGGTATGGAGGAGCAGGGGGCAGTAGGATGGGGATAGACAGTCGCCCACCTTCTGCTCTGCCATCCGGCATGTCCCTTGCTCAGGGTTTCAGCCCTGAATGTCCCCAGTCGGCTCCTAGCCCTGCAGCCTGCTTGCTCCTGCTCTGCATGGAGCTGGCCGTGGAGGTCCGGCATAGACCTGCTTGCTACCTTCCTGCGTGCTGCTGAGCCCCCTGTGTGCCCTGGTGGGGCAGGACCGCGTGGCGCCGGGCTGGGGCCGCGCTCAGCAGCCTCACCGGGCCGTCTGTCTTGCAGGTGAACAGCATGAAGGAGCTGTACCTGCTAATCGAGGAGGAAGAGCTTGCCCCGCAGCAGCAAGCAGATAACAAGACGTGTGCCGGAGATGCCTGGACCCCCAACACGGTGAGCGGGAGTCATGGGCCCTGCCTGGTGGGGGACGCTGTGTCCCCAAGATGGAGCAGGGCAGGCAGGATCCTTTGCGGGGCACGCGGTGCTGCATGGATGGGGCATCTTCACGCCTCAGGGTGGATGCGGCCGTGACGTGGTGCCTGTCGGCCCTTGGAAAGGGGTCCTCGGTGTGGGTGGGGCGGAGGGGGGCGACCAGACAGCAC